CTACCTTACAAATCAGATTAGACCAGTGCATGTACACTGGTACAGATAAGAACTGGAAACACAGGGAATTCAGAATTGATAAACCCCTCAGGACCAATAACGAGAGTAGCCATACCAAGAGGGTAAGAGAAAGGTGTGGGGGGAAAAGGGTACCGATCTACATATAACCCCCTCCCAGGGGGATGGACAACAGAAAAGTGGGTGGAGGTAGACATCAGACAGTTTAAGACATGAAAAAAATAATAATTTATAAATTATCAAGGGTTTGTGAGGGAGGAAGGGTGGGGGATGGGAAAATGAGCAGATACTAAGGGTTCAAGTAGAAAGAAAATATTTTGAAAATGATGATGGCAACATATGGACAAAGGCGCTTGATACAGTTGATGTATGGATTGTTATAAGAACTGCAAGAGCCCCCAATAAAATGATATTTATAAATAAATAAAAATGACAATCTGGTTTAAAAATGTTCCTATCTTTCATGAACTTATCCTATTGCACTAGTGAATGACCTTCCAAAAATCCCAGCTGGGCGTTACTGTGAAATTGTGCAATCTTATGGAATTGTAAATGACATGTAAGAACCAGTTATTCCTTCAATAAATAATGAACTCTTTAATTGCCCAACAGGATTTCTAGGATTGTAAACCTTTATGGACGCTGCCTACCACAAACTCCCCTGAGAGCAGTGGGAGTTTGCAGTCCTGGTTTGCTTCAGTCAAGCGCTTTAACCACCTGCCACCAGGGCTCTTCTCACCAACCCTAGAGCACAATCCTCCTGGAACATTAGGAACAAGCAGTGATAGCCAACCTCCAGATGGCATGCCTAGAAGGAAGATGTATTTTGGGTTTAAGGGACAATCTCCATTTGAAATCATTGTAGTAAGAATATAATTCTATTATTAAATAAGAAATTATAGTAATAACAACCACTTTAGTTAGTATAATATTGCTATTTAGAATGCTCCTGAATCAATTTCTACTCTTGCAAATGATGTCTGTCAGCTTTGGGACATTCTGTGTTTACAGGCTCTGGGTGCAGGGGCTGAAGCATCTGGGCGCATAGCACGGGTCCATCTTCACCCTGCCCACCTGGAAAGTTGGGTGGGAAGGGGGCCTGGAGACTGCTCCAGCTTCTGAATTAATAATACTGATGGTTACCACTTACTGAGTCCCTGTAACACACACACACACACACACACACACACACACACACACACACACACCACCCAAGCCCTGCAGGCCTCATTGGTACTTCGCAGAGGAGATGAGTCTGGCTCAAGAAGCAAAGCACCTGTCAAAGACACACAGCAGTGAGTGGCAGGACGGTCGGAGTGCATCCAGCACCCCACAGGTCACTAACCTGTGAGTGACCTAGACTAGTCCTCAGTGTCCTCATCTACACATGCGTCCATTGACGAGATGGACGGACACAAGGGCTGCAACCATGGACTCAAACACAAGCACAAGTGTGAGGAACATAGGGTTGCTATGAGTTGGAATTGACTCACGACACTACCAACAACAACAACAAGTAAAGGACGACACCCCAATCCTTGATGAGGTCAGAATCACTCAGTAGATGCCCTTTGGACCGCCCTCCACCTGCCCAGTCTCCCACACGCTTCTCATTACCAGTGGCTTCTTGTACTCATTGGGTTTGATGCAGCGGATGAAGTAGGGTTGGCAGGTGGTCAGGATTTTCATGAGCTGATCCAAGGATTGCTTGAACTGGCCTGCCAGGGTGGAGGGCCGCTTGGTGGATTCTGCAGACTGTGGGCAGAAGGGGGAACACAGTGGAGGAGCTGCAGGATGTTAGCCTAGGGACACAGCTCATGTGCAGCTTAAAGAGGGCAAATGTCAAGGTCTTGCAGACCTGTGGAAGAGGAGGGCTATTCATTTCTCCAGAAACCCATCCTTCTCCCATGCTTCCCAAGCACCTACTGTGTGGAGTCAAGCTGGGTACTGGCTGTTATCATAGTCAATGAACGATGGTCTCTTGGAAATTTATACAGAACTCACACGTTCAAGGTCTGAGATAGCTGAGGTAAGGAGACCTGTGAATTTTTTTTTTTTTTTGTCCTTTCAAAAACTCATTTGACCCAGGGTTTCTCCTCCACGCCCTCCTGCAAGCACAAATTTCTGCAGGGACCTTCTCTGAGGTCCCAAAGGCCCAGGACAAGGTGGCAAGCCACACGTGTGTGAGCCCATCTGTGTTCCCACCTTCCCACCCCCAGCCAATACCCAGCATCTCGCCTGTTCTTCTGGGCTCCAAATCTGAGCTACTCTTATCCAGCGCCCAGTCCGTGCCTCCCGGAGTCCTGCTCCCTGTGAAATGGTGCCACCCCGGCCCTTGACATTCCTCCCGAGGTGATGATAGAAGAATAAAGTTGTATCAGGTGCTAAAGGCATCCTCGCCTGAATCCCAACCCATGAGCTGATTCGCTCGACTCTCTCCTCACTAAGGGGTCCAGGGTTTCTAGATGGCTCATTGGCTTTGCAGGTACAGCCAATGGTGAGAGATGGGGCATTGATGGGACGTCCAATGCTATCCCAAGGAGCGCCACGGGAGCTTCCCACCTTCTTGGACAGCAGCCTTCTAGTCCACTGCCAAGACACTCTCACCTACCCTTATACACAAATTCACCCTCACACACATGCACACGCTTATGTACTTACACACAGGCATAAACAGCACTCTCGGACACCCATACCGCACATTCATGCACACAGTCTCACACCCCCAAATGGAATTTTTAAAAAATTAATAAAGGAAGAGATGCCATCATATGACATGCCACTCACAAACAGGCACACCCATGTCCAAGTGCCCTTGCAGCTGCCCAATCTCTTTTTGCCCTGACTCAGAAGTTAAGACCCTGGGGAATGGGTCTTCATTGGTCATACCTGTCTGACCTCATGGTCCAGAGGCAATGTCTAGAAGGCAGCTGGAAGAGTGCTCACCTTGAAGAATTGGTCCCTGCCCTTGGCCTTGTTGATAGTTCCACCACCCAGCTTGGTCTCTACAGCTTCCAGCTTGAAGATCTCCTTCAGGAACTTGTTTTTGGAAGAGTGGACCAGGGCAAGGATATCTGTACTCAGAAGGTCTCGATTCTTCTCCAGGAAACCTGTCACGAAAGCAGAGCCCCAGCCCAAGCCAACTCAGCCATCACCCTGTCACGGTGCTTCTGGGGAAAAGAGGAGCCAAGTTCATTCTGCCAGGGTATCGCTGGGAACCTCCAACACAAGGAGTACCTTCTGAGTCAGGGCAAGCCAGCCTCCTCTGTTCTCATCTGTCTACACTACTGGGGCCACATCTACTGAGCATCTAATCTACCACCTCCACTCAGGACCCTGTCTTGTCAATTCTACATCCCTAAATCCATCCCCACTCTGAAGGTTACTATAACCTCCTTGTCCAAGCTGCAATCATTTCTTTTGCCAGAGTTACTCATGTCCCAGTTGCTCCTAGTGTCCCCTTCTTCCATCCAGCATCTCTGTCCTACCCACTCTCCATGCCCTTGCCAGAGGGGCCTTCATGACACCCTTATGTTGCCATGTCAACTTCCTGCTTAACACATTTCCTCTAATCCTTACTGCCACCATCTACACCTTCGTCCGCATCTACCCTCCACTCTCCCCTCACCTACCTGCACTCCAACCACACCAAACCACCTCCCAGAAGGTCTCTGTTTCCCCACATCTCCAGGTCTCAACCTTGCCTTTTCTTGCTCATCTACAAGGCCAACTCTTGTTCCCCCAGATGGGATGTAGGTGTCAACATCCCAGGAAACGACACAGACTTTCCAAGAGTAGCGTCTTTCCTTCGCTTCAGTGAGAGTCTTATTGTGTGTCCCCTTTCTCCATCAGATAAGACACTCTTTGGATGCCAGGACTCTGGTCTTTGGGGCCCAGAGGATGTAGGGAAGGGATCAAGTCCACCACTGACATGATCTCCGTCATCCTCATCACTGCCAAATACTTAGCAGTTGATTATTGAGACAGTAGGTGATGTGTGTATTCAAGGGGCCGTCTAGGTCTCATGGCAGTGTGATTGGTGAGAAAAGAAGAGAGGCGAGAAAATGAAGAAGCCCCATCACTCTCCTGTCACAATCCCTAGTTGACCGACTCCTGACACCTGGCAGCCAGACTGAATAGGGAGGCAGGAGACTCCTGCCATCACCCCATGTCCAGACGTGCCTCGGGGGACTGTGCCCTCCTCCATAGGGTCCATACAGAAAAGGGACCCTTTAGAGTCCCACTCTGTGCAACGAACAAGGGTGTGGGGTCTGCTTTCCTCTTCTGGGGGCCTGAATGGAAGGATGCAGGAATTAAACACCAAGATGAGGCTCTCTGTTCCCATAAAGACTTCCGGCCTTGGAAAGCCCTGGGGGCAGGGTGCATAGTGGGTTACTGATTGGGTGGCTAACCACAGGGTCAACGGTATTAACTGACCAGTCACTCTGAGGGAGAAAGATGCGACTTTCTACTCCTGTAGAGATTGACAGTCTCAGAAACCCACCGGGGCAGTTCTACTCTGTCCTACAGGGTCTCTGTGAGTCAGAATTGACTCAGTGGTTGTGAGATGAGCTGAAATCAACCAGGTGGCAGTGGGTTTCGTTTCTCTGTTTGTTTGGCTCTCTGAAGAGACCCTGGGTAGCACAAATAACGAACACACTCAGCCACTAGCGGGTTGAGTCAAGCCAGAACTGCCTCAGACGAAAGACCTGGACATCGATCCCTCAGATTAACCGTTGAACATGCTGTGAACACACGTTGGGCCTTCCTGTCTGAGGGTAGACTCCATGGCAACTGGTGCTGCAGTGCCGTGTTCTGCACACTGCTACACAGACAGCCCAGTGTGAGATTTGGGGAGGTCAAGTCAAGGGTGGGAATAGGGAAGGGAAGTCTGGTTCTCCTCTTTCTGGAGGAGACAGAGCAGTGTCGAGGTGAGGGAACTGCATCTAGGCCCCCAAAGGTGGGGGGCACATAGCGGTCATGGAGCTGGGAGCGACAGGGAATGGGTGTCACTGAGCGTTGACCGTATGGGCCACATTAAGAGGAGAGTGCAGCCCAGTGTGCTGTGGGAAGCCACCTTCTGCAGAGCGATGGTGGGAGCTCCTCAAGTGTGTCCGAGAGGGAAAGGAGGGTGGAGGCAGCCCTAGGCTCAATCACCTAACACAGTAGTTCTCAACCTGTGGGTCGCCTAAGACCATCAGAAAATGCATAAGTATTTCACAATATATAATTACATATTGTTTTATGATTAATCATTATGCTTTAATTATGTTCAATTTGTAACAATGAAAACACAGCCTGCATATCAGATATTTACATTATGATTCATAACAGTAGGAAAACTACAGTTATGAAGTAGCAACGAAAATAATTTTATGGGAGTGGAGATCCAGGGCCCATTGGTGGGCCACTGGGGATCCCCTTGCGGAGGGGTCT